GKTGATGGGCGTGGCAGTGGTGAAATTGAGAGGAACCAATCAGTAACTTGTCATTTTGGTTTGGTTTCTTGATTTCATTTGTACTTTAACATTGGCATCAAACACTGTCTGCTCTTACGAGTTTGTAAATCTATTCATAAAAGGGAACACGGTTTGTGGAGCAAATTCTCGTCATTAGAGAGTTTAAGCATCACGTTAACTGCAAACGGCTAACGGCAGAGCTCAACCAATGACCTAAGAATTTTGTGCCCGATCTTATGCTTTTGGTAGTCATTGGARAGAGCGGYTTWTCAYGATTATGGCAAACTCAAAATAACCCACTCTCGCGTTGAAACTGCAACGTTAAACTCTAAAAAAGCAGATCACGTGATCTTTTCTGCCGTTTGCCTTTTGCCGCGAACGTCATGCTAAACCTCTCTATTATCACACTGGCTAAGTGGAACCAAAAAACTGATTTCAAACCCTAAAAGAGGCGACGAGGACCCCTGTATTACCCATAAATGTAATAACAACCATAAATGTAATACCCACCATAAATGTAATAAAAATCAACCATAAATGTAATAACAACCATAAATGTAATAACGATCAACCATAAATGTAATAATCGACCCCACCATAAATGTAATAACTTTTAACCATAAATGTAATATTCGAGACTAACCATAAATGTAATACCGTTTTATAGCATTTAACCATAAATGTAATAATCAGTTACTAAACATTTCCCTTGACTGCTGGTATTCCTCTGCCTCAACGGGATAATAGTAGCATTTGTCACATGACAGTATGACGTCATAAGAGATGCGTTTTAGTAATAGGCAATATACAAAACCATTTTAATATGTAACAAAGCAAGATGGGAGTTCAATTCCTAGCACATTTCTTCATTTCCAACAAACCGTCATTTTTTTCTTTCAAAACAACAAAAGTAGTAAATCTCTTACGGCCAAGGAAAGAAGCAAGCACTACACCTCCTATACCTTTCGTTGTTGTACAAAATGACGTCGTTGTACATTTCCAATTATTTATAACCTTGTAGCATCCTGGTGTCGAAACATAGGAAACCCAGAGTAGGAGAAACACAAGAAAAATATAACAACAACAACAACAACAGGAAGCTTGCACTGAGTCGAGAATTGTGGACCGTTTAATTGTATATTTTTTTGTGTTATTTCTTCGAATGTGAAAATCTTATATTAACTTAAAATTACTTAAGAACACTTACCACTAAGACCATCAGGCCATATCCTTCGCCTAGATGTGATTATACAGTTAAAAAAAAAACCGCTAGTTGAATCATCGAAAATAAAGATCCTTACACATTAAATGACATCAAACCCTGACTTTTCAACCATTCCCATGAGATTCAAAAGGTAAAAGACCGGCAGCCATATTGGAGGAAGAAACARTAGATACTAATGAGAGCGTTTGTCGAAGTTCCTCAAAGATTCCGCTGTGAGTAAAGTGCATGCAAGCAAACAACACTTAACAAAGAGGACGTTAGTTTCAACATCACAACGCATTTTGAAGGTGGAAATCTAAATGTCGATATTCCCTCAACTTTTTGTCCAATTCGGTAGCAAAATCTCATAGCCTAATCATTAAGTGTTAACTAGCCTAATTACTTACCAACACCAAACGTCACACAAAAAAGAAATAAGTTGGGTATCTGTTGAAGACGTAACAGGCCTGACGAGGGAAATAGAAAGGAATAAGAAAGAAATCGCTAAGAAAAAAGCTTTACGTGAAAAAGAAAAGCAAATTCGAAAGAAGAATAAAAGTACAATAGAAAGACAGAGACACAGAAGAACATTCTATATACCATTGAGAAAAGAAGACCATATTGATGAATTCTTTCTTCAAGGATATCATGTTGTCTTTGATCCAATGGGCGATGGAAATTGCCAGTTTGAAGCCTTAACGCACTTATTACCTACAGTCGGAATTTTTAGGTCCACAAAAACATTGCGGGAAGAAATTGTCCGGTATCTACAACAAAATCCAAACAGTGTAGATGTTTGCTGGGATCCCCTGGGAGCAGTATCTCTCTGAGATGGGGAGAGATGGTACATATGGCGATCAATTGACCTTACAAGCTTTCGCGAATATCTTTAACATACAGTTAATCATAATATCATCACTTGGCCATGCAGGAAAAGTAGTAATTTCTCCCTGGAGCAACAACCCTATAGCGCAGTTCACGCTCAGACACTTTGGTGAGACTGAAGGTACACATTATGTTTGCCTTCAACAAATGAATGGCGGAGAAATGTCAGAATATGTTATGAACAGTAGAGATGATGATATGAATGTGGTGGATATAGATGGTGTTGACAATACTCAGAGTGAAGATGGTGGTGCAAATATGGAGGATGGAGATGGAGATGTGAATACGGAGGGTTGAGATGGTGTAGTGTATTTGGGGGATATACATGGTGAGAATATAGATTGTTATGTGAATACGGAGTCTGGAGGTTGTGGTGTAAATACAGAGAGTGAAGGAAGTGATGCTGGCCAAGCGGAAATTGAATTTGTTCCGGATGAACGAGTGGAAAACGTCATCACAACAAACCCATCGGAGGTGCTCTCTGGCTTTGAAAAAATCCCTAACGAAATTCTGGAGAAAATTTGTTGTTTTGCCGTCCAGCTTGCATACCTTGATTTTCCTGGATCCGCGTGCCTTGTTTACCATAGGTTGCGTGCTGTTAATTCTCGGTTCAGACGCATTACAACTGAGAGATGCAAAAACATTTACCATGCATCTACATGCCAGGTGGGATTGCAAGTGCTATCGTCAGTGTACGCGGTCTTTTAAAGAAATTTGGACGTTCCAGTGGTCTGATTCTTAGCTTGAGGAAAATTGTCTCTGGATCCAATTGGGTAAACGCATGGCTACGGCTGGAAGATCTAGAGTATGGTTGGTTCAGAATAACTGATATTTTCTGGAGAAAATGACTTTTTTTCTGGACTTAGATCGACAAGTTTAGTGACTTTTGATAGTTTCCATGGTATGCCCAAAATTCTTTGGGTAAATTGCTGTTACAGTTTTAGAAAGTGCATGCCTTTCAACGCTGTTCAAACACGGTAACTTGTTTTTTAAAACCCAGGCCCTAACCAATTGCTTTTTTCACTCACTGTATGCTAGTAATAGAATACAGCGATTTTTGTTTTGTTGTCACTGCCCAAAACTGGCCAACTATGTAAAGGGGTGGGTTTGACCTTGACTATATTTTTGTGAACTTGGAAACATTTTATTCATCCAATTTTCTTCATATTGACATATTTAGCTAGTTTACCAGCTTTTAGCACTTTTTTGTTGTTTAGGGAAAATCACGTGGTCTATGACGTCATTAAAAAGGAAAATAGAAAAATGCGGCCGCGAATTTTAAACAATCGCAAATGGTGTGCACGTAAATATCATTGCTTGACCAACAGAAACAAATTGCCGATTGGAAAATTGGAATGTATATTATCTTTAAGAAGATATTTGGATAAAATCTTGTCACGTGACCTATAACGGAATATCTCCTAAAGTACGAGTCAAAGGCAGATTTTCCAAGCAGATTTGAATTCACCTTTGGGAAGCAATCCATATTCCATAAATAGAAATATTCTTTCTTTGAAACTCGGGACCGCATTTTAAGATCTAAAACTTCTTTAAGACTCTTTTATCCTTTAAAAGGTCCCACGTGATCACGTGACTAGTTGTAAATATTTCTTTTATGATTGTCAATAAACCCTCAAAGTTTCACTAATTTTTCATTGGGTTTTGGTTCAAAAAACTGAAAAGTATATTTTCTTACAATGAACACGATGCCTTAACATACTTGAGTGAAGAGATACAATATAACTACATTACGAGCGGTACAGAAATTGAATATTTCTTATTGGTTTGTTTAGCTCCACCTTATCTTCAATTGACAAAAGAAAGGATCTAGTGTTTGTATACATATGTAACATTTTATATAGGGAAAATAAAAAAGAAAAGAAATGAAGGAAAATAATCAAAAAGTCACTAAATATTATCAAAAATGTGTCTCCTATTCCTAAAACGCATCTCATGACGTCATACTGTCATGTGACAAATAATGCTACTATTATCCCGTTGAGGCAGAGGAATACCAGCAGTCAAGGGAAATGTTTAGTAACTGATTATTACATTTATGGTTAAATGCTATAAAACGGTATTACATTTATGGTTGGTCTCGAATATTACATTTATGGTTAAAAGTTATTACATTTATGGTGGGGTCGATTATTACATTTATGGTTGATCGTTATTACATTTATGGTTGTTATTACATTTATGGTTGATTTTTATTACATTTATGGTGGGTATTACATTTATGGTTGATTTTTATTACATTTATGGTGGGTATTACATTTATGGTTGTTATTACATTTATGGGTAATACAACCCCCGCCTCCTGTTATAAGTTAGGGGTCTTAATTAACGTAATGACCGTTTTTTCGCGTAGTTATTTAACCTGATGTATTATTTCTGTTGATATTAGTGTGTTTTGTCTCAAGAATGCTTGTTATCCCACGTATTGCAAGCTAAAGGGTAAGTCAAAGCTCTTGTGCTCAGTGTTTTTCACTTACAATAGTTTCCCCTGAACCCCATCTGTGTAGATATTCTGTGATCTTGTGCCGTGTTAAGGCTGATTTACACGGCACGATTGTCTCGTGCGATTTGTAGTATACGACTTGAATAGTGCAGTGTAAATGTCCCTACGACTTGCCTACAACAGTCGTACGCAACCTACGACTTGTAGTAGGATTTTGAACCACGGCTTAAAATCCTACGACTTCTAGTAGGAAAATCGTATACTACAAGTCGCGCGCGACAAATCGTACCGTGTAAATCAGCCTTTAGAAGTGACAACGTCTCAATTTGGTGTAAACATACTCGTTCTTTATTTAAACACATGGGGGGAGGGGGTACGAAAAAGTTGAATGACTTTCTGGTCGAACTGTTCCAAACATATTAATGATATTTATATTATGTGTGCAGGCTGAAATGTGGTTCCTTCAAGACTTACCAACATGGCTTTAGAAATAGCTATTGGCTTAGCCTTCTTATCTAACTTGAAGTATATTCATAGGTAAGTATCGTGTATAAAACAAAGAAACTCGTGACTTGAACAGGTTATAGTTTATTATTTGTATCATGACTACTGTTTTTACAGTTAACTGAATAATACTCTCCTTCACGGTTACCTGCGCCATCTTGAAAGGTAGCCGTGCCTTTGCATCGAAGCGAGACGACCGTTGAGCGTGCAATGATAGATACCTGTGAAGAATTGTCTGTAGGTGTGAAAGAAGGTTTCTATCATTGCACGCTCAACGGTCGTCTCGCTTCGATGCGAAGGCACGGCTACCTTTCAAGATGGCGCAGGGAACCGTGAAAGAGACTATTGTGGATCATAAGAAATGACCACACTGCTGTCTCGATTTCTGTTGCGAACTATTTTGTTTCACATAAATTGTGAACGTACTTTTTTTCATGTTAATACAATCTACTAAGAAATCATCTCATCTATCCCTAACAAGACTAAGAAAAGGTTAACTACGCATTACTATACGCAAACTATTGCATATTTTGCATATTTGAGTTCTAACGTAACTCCTTGCGTAGTGTCTAAGTTTTCTTAACGTTCCTATGTTTTTGGTTATACTTAACTGATTACCTATCTCAGTTTTCTTATCGATTTCATGCATTTGGTTATACGTAAGATAACTGTGCGGTATTTACATGCAAAGTAAACGTGCGTGATTTGTCTTCACGTTCCCGACAAATTTGTAGATTCAGACAGTACAGGTATATGTTACTTTTAACGAAAATAGAATTTACGTTTCTTGGGACCTGGCTTTGCGTAACTGCAGGTAAGGTACGTAAGATTGCTCTTATGTTCTATTTCATTGAGTTCCATTGAGCGTTCTTTGTATTTTGTTACGTATTTCGCACGTGACGATTTCAGTTCGTATTTTTGACACTATAAAATTGGCCTATTTCATTATGACGCAGTGTGTTCAAAAACAGTCGGAAAATTTGGACACATCTCTATTCAACCAGAAGGAAGAACTTCAATGTATCGTGTTTTGATATGTGACTTCGAATTTAAATTAACATATTTAATGCCTTCTCAGCATGTCAGATCGAGATTATATTTAGTTACTATTGCAAGTTCATGAATGATCACAGTAAAATATACTACTATATTAAATTCAGAACATGTGAAGTATGCCGTTTTAATTATAGACGTTGAGTACCCGAGTATATACCAATTATTTTGTTTCAGGACTGTCGGATTTCACTGATTCATATATATTTAGTATAATGATATAATGTTTGACATAAAAAGACATATGCTGTATAAGCCAAGTCTAAAAGAACAATACCCGTCCTTCATCTGTAGTGCAGATAATCCGACCATCATTTAGTACTGCTATGTACTTAGGGGCCGAGCTTAAAGAGGATGTCGCTCCTAGATAACGACCATCAAGTGTAAGCTTGTGAACTTTCTGTGATTCTCTATCGCACACAAAAAGATTGCTGTCATTAACAGCGAGATTGTTAAATTCACCTATGGGATGACGATTAGTAGTGATTGTAGTTACAGCGGTTTGTTCATCCCAATGGAGAAGATGGTAGTTAAAATGTTTAACTTGTACCCATGATCCATTACTGTGGTAGAGCAGGCCATTGTGCGCGATTGCGCAATGAGGCCCTCTTCTTGCAATGGCAACGTCACATTTATCATCAATATTATTTGTGAACAACAGGAATTCGAAACCACCAGATCTCGTCCACCAGTTAGTAATCTCGACTGTTATTATGTTAAGGTCACCCTTAACAATTTTACCACTGCCACCTCCTATGGTTTTCAGGAATTTACCAAAAAGTGTGTCCACCATGCATATTCTACCATAATTACCAGAATCATGTATGATTAAATCTGTTTCATTAAGAAATACTAGACCTTCTGGTCTGCACAACTGTCCTTCCTCTCTTCCTTCACTACCATACGACAATAGCAAATCCCCATCCATGTTGAACACTCTTACGCAATGTAAGGCCCGATCAGCTACAGCTATCCTAGTGTTGGTTTTATTTACTGCAACACCTGAAGGACATTTTGCTCCTGTAATCATGGCAATTTGTAACTTTGAGTATGTGGCCATTTCCTTGATGTGTTGTGGTTTGACATCCATCATTAGTGGACTGTTGGACACAGGATTTCCATGTACTTGAACCTTTGCTGTCAACTGACCAGAAACACGTGGAGTAAAGGTCACTTCGATCTGGCCGTCGTCTGTCACTCGTTTCTCTTCTACACTGCCTTCTTTTTCGGTTTTGAAGTGTATTGTCACATCATCAAGGGACGAGCCACAGGGCTTCCCTTCATTTAGTACCACTTTCAATGTTGCTTTTTTCATGACCTCAAATTCATCGGGCTCAACTTTAAATGAGCACATATTTGGGTCTGCCTTTTCAAATGTCTCTCTTACTAGTCCTAAGCCAGTATTCACTTGTTCATCAAGGCCTTCATTGGGTTTAAACTCAACCCCTATTCTGTATTTCCCAAATGGTCTGTAGGCGAACGTTTTCGAGTCTTCTTTGTCTGATCGGAGGTCAAAGATTTCACTTGCTGTTCCATTTTGTATGAAGTATTTGATGTACTCTTGTGCTGCTGGAGCGTGACGAAGTATGCGTAAATTCTTGTCAGCCTTCGTTATGCTTTTTTGGATTTCATTTAAAAGTTGCTGTTCGCAATCAGTTAGTTTTTTCACCAGCTTCTTTGTGAGTTCCTTTACCTGCTTTTGCGCCTCGCTTGAGGTTTCTTTGATTTGGAATGTAATTTTCTCTTGGCGTTGTCTTTCCTCTTGGTCATCAAACAGTTTCTGGGCTTCTCCAAAGTTTTGAGACAGAGAATCTTGTGCGAACTCCTGTAGTGAAATTATCTTGTGTTTTTTGTGGCAATCTCTTAAGCAAAGCAGACAGATAAGATCGTCACAGTCTTGGCAGTAGAATTCAACGTCTTGATGAGCGTGTGTTTTGCAAGGACTTTCTTTTTTCAGCATCACTTCAACATCCTCCTTCGTCATCTCAGACAACGCAACAACTTTGTGATCTTTAGTGAATATAGAATGACTGTTTAGACATTCGTAACACAACGAGCGATCACAGTCGAGACATTGCCATAATGCATGGCTATGGCTGGCAGAAACTGAGCAAACCTTCTGGTTCTCAACAAATGACAAGACTTGCACGATTCTTGAGTGTATGGGACTGATTTGTAAGTCTTCCACGTCGTTGAGTTCTTTGAGCTCGGTTGATGAGTCACACTGAGGACACTTGAAGATGTTGACTTGACCATCAAGTTGTGCATTTGTCTTGATACAAGTCTTACAGAATGTATGAAAACATTGTAATAACTTGGGTTCAA